TGAAAGTACTATGAATGTAATTGTCCGCTTCAGCTTTACAAAAAATTTGATATTTCTAAAAAATTTAAAATAAATTCAATATTTCCAAAATTTAATCTTTCTAATAATAAAAAAGTACTAATTCTAGGTTTGTCCGACATAATTTTTATTATTTTAGTTAAAGTTGCTGGAGCAAAGTATCCTTATTACCTTCAGTTATTTTTGCGCGATCTATTGATACTCTCCTGACTTCCTTGTCATCACTATCTATATTCAAATTTGAAACCATCTTTTTCTTTGTCTCAGGTGATATATTTAAATCCAAAAAAGCAAAATAAACAAGCTTTGAGCTTAAATACCAAATACAATTTTTTGATATTGACTGAGAATAGAAAGAAGATTAAAATCTTGAAAATGAGCTTTGACTGATGACAAAGCATTAAACCATACTTCAACATACACTTTAGTAATAAATATACATATATCGCAAAGAGCATTTTCTTCTTCTGTAGATAATTTGAACTCTTTCCTAAATAAAAATATTTTTAATACATGCATGATGTATAGCTCGGCTTTTCTCGTAAAAACATTAATGCAAGTTCCAGAAGTTCCTTATAATCATCTCTTGGTTGGTTATCCTTACGAATCTTATAAAGGAAACTTGTAATTCGTAACACATCATCCATATTTAACGATTTTCTTATTTTTTCATTTTCTAAGCCGACTGTAAACTTATCAACATTTATTTTCGGCCAAAACTTCTGAAATCGTTGAAATAGTTCAACATTTGGGCTTTCAGACTTTACACTTTTTAATGTAATCACTTTGAATTAAAATTCACTTCGCATTCCAATGAATAATACAGAAACTCACTTATGTATATAACTATACAAGTATTGGACTTATTTTGTAGCAAATTTAGTAGACAATTCATTCATTGAACTTACCTAAATTTAATAGGGAGATTTCAGCTTGTATTTGCTTTTATTCAATAACTATTAGAAATACAGAAAAACTTTGTACGAGTAAATTGTTTTTATGTAAAATTAAATATGTCGGAGATATAAGCAATCAAAGATGAATTTTATGGAAAAAATCGTTATCTTTCAATCTTTGAGGCTCTTGGGGCACCATTTCCACTTATCCAATTGAACTAAAATTTGACACAGATTATTTTTTTAGTAAAATGAACCGATCTGGGAGTGCCGTCAACCGATTTTACGAAAAAAAAATTGCCCATATACCTTAATGGCACCCTAATATACATATATGCATTTTATATTATGTTCGTTTTCTTTAATTTGTATGTATATTTAAATATGTTTATATTTCGTTTATTAAACTCTTTTATATGTTTTGTTCTTTATTATTTTACTAATATTTACAATATTACAATTTAATTTAATTCTAAGAATACTTTCGTTTTGAAAGTATTTTTTAGCTACGTACCCTATTGTGTATCTTAAAGACAATAAATCAATATTTATGTTCTTTGAATTGGAAAATGCATCTGATATAATGCAATTTTCGATGTCATTGCACTCTAGATCAGAGTAGGCTTCTACTGTACAGTTACTAGACACCTTAAAGTTATTTTCATAGAGTTCTATCAAAGAAGAAGAAAGCACATCATCAAGGCACTTGTTATCATTATCCTCACTTTTTTCACAATTGGCTACTTTCTTAGCGTATGTATATGATATTATAAGTCACCATTTATATATGGTGCAATTTTTTATATAATATATACAAAACACAAACTGGGAACAACAAATTTTTGTGAACCTTTAACATTTGGCTATTAGTGGAAAAAATTTTATGGAAAACTTGTATACATTTTTTGGGTATCGATTGTATTAGATTGTAGTGAAAAAAGTCGTAAAAACACGAGGGATTTTTGCAAATTTAAATTTAAGTGTTAATAAAATTTAAACATGTTTTTATTTAAAAATGGTAACAATATCCTAAGCTGTAAAAAATATAAAAAATAATAATTTTTCAATTAGTAGATATAAAATAATAAGGGTTCAAATTTCGCCAAAATTGTACGAAATCTCAATTTTGCCAAAATTTCATAAAATTGCGAATAACATACAATAATTTACAAAATATACTGTGCTCTTTACTTCTATACAAATGTGTTTCAGTTAAACTTGAAAATAAAAATTTCGGTTTTACAGAAAATTCTATATAATAATGAAGAAAAAAACGGATTGTGGACAAAAAATAAGTTTTTTGGTATTTTTGCAGACATTTCTTGCTTTGATATTTTTATTAGTTGCTGTTCTTGATTTCTCAATTGTTAAATGCACCTTTCTACATAAAAATACCAACAACTGTAGTTCAGAGCGCAGAAAAGCAATACAAATTTCTTTAAAACTCATTAAGTATAAAATGCTTTAACACTCCAAACTCTCCCGCATGTTAAAGCTGAAAAATTAAAAATTGAGTCACAACGAGTCCATGTGACACAAAAATAACTCAAATACTATTTCCCCGATTTCTGCGACCGATTTTTGTGAAATTGCCCTCACTTCATTTTTAAGATTTTTTGAGTGATGCACACTCTATGTATATATACTCTTTGGTCTAATGCAAACAATCCTTTACAAATTAGGTGCAAATAAGATATGGTAGAGTCTGGTTTATACGGATGTTATTATTTATATTTTAAACCTTGGCAATACTGATTGTTGTGAGGTGTCTTGTGACGTTTCCATACAATGTTTGACATTATTAAACATAATCTACCTTAGACTCTTTGTCAAAAGAGCGATTTTTGTGATTTGTAAATTGGGTGTTCACGAAAAAATGGAATTAATGCGAGAAATTTTTCGAGTCTATTACGAGTTTCGATGTTGATTATCACCACATCGTCACTATGAAACACTGCCACGGGTATAATGATTTTAATCATGACCGCAGTTCATTCTCTGACGAACTGGACGAATTCGTGAAGGTCGTTGTTGTGTCAAAATCAGTTATTGCGCCAGAAAACAATGATGCGACATACTGTGAGATTGAGGTTGAGGTGAAACCCTGGGCATTAGTTCCACCAGCATATATAAAATATTGCACGATCATTTAACCTTGAGAAAAGCTTGTTTTCGTTGGATTCCTCCATTATTTGGCAAAATTTCAAAAATTTTTCTCGTGTCGTTTGGTGCACACAAATTCTTAAGAAGTACGATGGTGGTGCTTCAAAAGACCATCATTGTGTATAAAATTGTAACAGATGTTGAATCATGGATATATGCAGTGACGACTGCTCTAAGGTGCGGAGGTGTGCGGTGAACACCCTAACATAATTTGCAAAATGTCAAATAACATAGGTATAGGAATTTATTAAGTATCTTCACATCAAGAATTATTATTATTTATTACATTTCCATATATACACATTTTTAAAGTTTTAGCAAAAACAATTAAATATAATTGTCTATGAAAACTCAATCAATTTGCTTCTGTTACCTGCTATACTTGTTAGTTGTGCTCATATATTTGCAGCTCAATTCACAGAACATTTCTATTTTATTTCGTCTCTCCCCTTTGTGTTCAAAGAAGGTGGTCGCACATTTATACGTTGCATATGAACAAAATAATGTGCGTGTTCTCCCGTTCGTAATATCAGAAATAGAGATTTATATGTGGGAATTGTATGAGAGTAATTTTCTGTTCTATTCGAATATCAACTGCATGCATACGAATCCAACATGATGATTTGCCAAAGTGGTTGCATGAGCGGTTGAAGTTTGCAGCTCATCTCAGCATACATTTCTATCACATTTCGTCTCTCCCCTTTTAACAGCAGCACCCACGAATTTCTGTTCTTATTGTGCGGGGTACTTGTGCGCACATTTATACGTTGCAAGTGGTTTCGATTTTGTTTGATCACTGCACAAACATGTATGTTTCTAAGTACAAACTCTTTTGTTTGAAAAAATTTGGTTTGATGTTACGAGAATTATGTGAAAAGTTTTGTTTCTTCCATATTGATATAATATTAAACTTATATATATATAAATTATTAATTTAATTTGTTTAATATATTATTTTGTTAATAAATTGTTAGTATAATATTGCGAATATATTGTTGCCTTATATAATATAGTTATTATTAATAAAAGATCTCATATATTTTAATATAAGTGGTACATGTAAAAACAACAATATAGAAGGGCCGCACACCCTTCCAGATAGGGCACGCGTCGTCACTGGATATATGCGTATGAGCCGGAACGTAAACAACAGTCAACTGTATGGGTGTTTCAAGATGAACCAAATATAACAAAAGTTATTCGCGCTCGAAGCACTTCGACACAAATGGTCGCTTGTTTTTTCGGGAAAACTGGTCATGTGTCAACTATACGGATACCATTACAAAAATGTAAAACGGTCAATTCCGAATGGTATATAATACAACCATTTTTTTACCAGAAGATTTCAGTGAAATACAGACAATTAACAAGCGACGTCGGATCATTCTCCATCTCTATCAAGCCAATACGAATCAGGACATCAGGCGGATGCAAGTGGATCATCCGCTCATACATACAGTTCTGATTTAATACCCAATGACTTCTTTTTGTTCGCAAACGTCAAGAATAAATTGTGTGGACAACGATCGGTAAATTTTTGTCGGCGGAAGAAGCCGTTGTTAAAGGAAACAATAAGAAACCATGTCTGAAGGTGTCTGAAGAAGATTGGAAAAAATTATTTGACTAATGGTCAAACGCATGCAAAAGTATATTAATCATGAAGGAGAATACCTCGAAAAACAATAAAGCAATTTTCAACAAATTAGTATTTTTATTTTAGGCTGAAAATATAAATAGTGACTCTCGTATTATACACGTACACAGAAAATGTTTGTCATGTGAAATTGTGTAATACAATATCAATGTAACGTCAGTCCATTATTCATTTCCTTAATAAAAACATTTCTTATTTTATTACAATCACTCTAAATAATATTAAAGAAAATAGAAAACTCTTTAAAAATAGCTAAAAAGTATATGTATTTACTTAATGCCAAGAAGTCTCTTAAATGCACGTCTATAATCTAAGTTAAAGATGGTGTAAATAACTGGATTCAATCCAGAGTTTATATATCCCAACCAAGTAATAAAATTTTTAAATTTGTTTGTTGGACAACAAGATTCGCAAAATGGTAATATGACGTACATGAGGAAGAATGGTAGCCAGCATATAACAAAAACTCCCATTATAATGCCAAGAGTACGTGCAGCTCGACGCTCTTTTGAAAGGGAGATCTTTTGTTTCTCTTCTATAAATTGGTAAACGCCTGCATGTGGCCTTTGTGTTGGTGTACCGGAACATATTGGACCAGACGAAGACTGTGGAGGAGTAACTTTAAATGCAATAGTTTCAGTTTCGTCAGCGTTGGTTATAATTTCAGTATGAGCAGAGCAATATTTTTGATCACTGCTACTTGCCATGGTGGTATCTCGTTGTTTTCGATCTTTGTCTGGTGATTTGTCGTTGGTCCTGTCATGCAATAATTTGTCGTTTATACAAGCATTTGTTTTATTTAGAGCATTTGCTTGAGATTTTTTTTGCAAATGTGGCTTTCCATATTTTATTGAATCTTTGATTTTTGAGCGCCGAGATTTTTTCCGCGGTGCCATAATAATAACCAACTGTTCTGGGTTTGGAATTTCGTTGTTAATGTGTGTTTCGCTGCTAATCGATTCTTGATCATTCTGCATCATTGGTTCAGTAGATTGTTGTGAATTTTTACCGCATACACATAGGAAACTAAATACACATTCTTTTCTAGTAGTGCTCATGCTGATGTTTGCACTTCCTGTTTCGGTAGCTTTGAATGTAATTGTATTCATTTTCGATGCTTGTGCTCGTTCTCTGAGCCGCCGTCTGGTGGCAATATAAATCTCAATGTAAACAATAGTCATTATTACAAGTGGAATAAAAAATGAGCCTAGAGAAGAGTAAATTACGTAGCCACGATTTGAAGTGAGTTCACATGGCGTTGCGCTAGTGAATTCTTCTGGCCAATCATTCCAACCGATAAGTGGTGGTGAACTAATTAGCAATGAAAATATCCACACTCCTGCAATTAAGAGTAGTACTCGACCTACCGTGCGTTTCTGCGCATAATTTATGGGATCAGTAATAGCCCAATATCGGTCTAATGCTATTGCACACAAATTAAGAATTGATGACGTGCAACACATAACATCACATGTGAGCCACATCTTACACAAATGTATACCGAACTCCCAGCGTCCAAGTATGGAATATGCTACATTAAAGGGTTGCACAAGCAATGCTACGGTAAGATCTGCCACTGCAAGGGACACAATAAAAAAATTTTGGACTATTCGTAATGGTTTGTATGTAAATACGCTTAAAATAACCAAAATATTTCCAACTATAGTTAGAAAAATGATAACTGAAAGGATAATAGTTGTTAGTATTGCTTCCCATTCTGGTACCGCCAATTCCACACCGAAATAACTTTCGTACCACTTCTCCACAGGATTGTCGCATAACTCCAAGTTTATTGAAAATGAAGTTAAGTTTTCCATATCTCTGTTCACCATACTGGATATATTTAACATTGTAGTTGGTATAGAGTTGATGGAGTATTCTGCTGGCTGTGCACGCATAACGGAACTGGCAACCGTTGAACTTATGTTTGGGATTATTGTTTGTTCCACCGAAGACATTTTGCATTGTTGTGCTTTGTTTAAGTTCCTACTCCGAAGTATTTGGTACCAAGTGAACAGAATTTCGGATGCTTAGTGCCTTGAAAATCTGAAAGAATAAATAAAATAAAATCTGTTTAATATTTTTTCAGTGTGTTAAATAATGTTTAAACATCTACATTTTTGTATTATATTATTCTATCACAATATTGTTAACGTAACTAGAAAAACAAAATGCACGTTGACAGGTGACAGAGTTTTTTGCTTTATCGCTTGGTAAGGATTTATTATATGAAAAAAATGTTTCAGATAAAGTATTTAATATATTTGAAAATTTTTTCCTTCAAAAAAAAAAATTAAGTTTCATTTGCATTGTTGAACTAACCTTAATTACAAAAGATTTGAGAAATTTTGTTCATTATGAACAATATTGCTTTGACTCCCAATTGGAAATTTATTCAATATTTTCTCATAACTCACCACAACGAAATTTACACACAAGCGACCATTTTCATCCATCCTTCTTTCAATTCAAGACTTTTATTTCCTATTTAAATACGTGCTGTTTTTGGACTAAATGGTATACCTTATATACTTAATACCGGGCAGCATTCATTATAGGTTGCAAAGATGTTTCTGAAGTTGCGGATGTTTCTGAACTTTTATTCTCTTTATTGTATTTATACAAAATAATAAAAATATTTAAAAACACTTTTTTCCCAGGTCAAAATATTTTCTGATCCCAAATACATCTTTAATATAATACTTCATTACAGAAATTATTTGAAATTTCTGATATATTGGTGTAAGAACAGACTTTTGTACATGCTACTTTAATTTTATCGCCATAACTTTGAAGATTTCCATGTCATTTGATTCCGGTATTATCGATTTATCTGAATAAACAAGTAATTATTCTATTATGGTATTATACAAATTGCTGATGGATCATCTGTACATTGTGGGAAATTGTTTTTTATGTGCTAATACAAGATGACACAACAGGTTTTCGAAAATTGTGCGAACATAAACATTTCCTGATAGTATTTTCTCAATATCACTTTCAAATTATTTAATTTTGCAAATAAAAATATCAAATTCTTGAAGCCTTGCAATAATATATGTCCAATAATAATATTGGACAAAGGTTGAATCCTTCTCAATTAGCTAGAAAGCCAAAAAATATTTCTTGTAATTTTTCGGCAAGTGTTAGGTGTTTTAGAACCTGTCAGATGTGTTCATGAACACAAGTAATTTACATTGAACGTAAACGTTGGTTTTGATCGGATGTTATACCTCTATCTACTAAGTAATTTAAACTTGTATAAAATGAGTATGTTATGATATACAAGATCGCATTTAATAAATCCACCCAACATTTCTGCGCGTATTATTTTACATTTTGGTAGTGAGACGATGCAGGCCTCCAAGACGATGCATAGAGGACAATGCTGAAGCTGTTGAGACCAAAAAAACGGAAATCAAAATGGTCCAGTGCTGCGAGATGTTTCTTAGATAACACTTGAATGATGTCATATTTCATGTCTCATTGCAAGATCGACACAAAATATTGATATACCTACAAAATTTAATTAATATCCTGATCACGAGTACATTTTATTTACGCTTACTTTTGAAACCACAAATGCCCAACCCTATATTTGGATTCTCACGTTTACAGATGTTGTAAGTGGTTTATTTGGATATACAATTGATTAATATAAAAAAATTCCATGTTATTTTACATGTAGTAATTATGAGAAAATGTATTTTGCTATAGCGCTTCAAAACTTATAATAAAACTTGGCGGCTAAATGGCATAAATACCTTTCTAAAAAGTCAATTATAATTGGTGGTAAAAACTTTAAAAGATGTATTTAGCTTATTAAGCAATATGTATGTGGTGCAGTAAGCATGGAAGTGTTGCTTAGACGTGACTTATTAAACAAGAAAGAAGTGCGTCATAGAGGCATATGACCGTTTCGTGAACTTAAACGCTAAATTAGCCCGATAGTTATTCCGCTCAATATGGCATCCACCATTAGTAAGGACATCTCGAAAGCTCGATCGCATGAGCTGCGATTACTCTACCCAATATTCACTGGATTGGTGGTGCACGCTTATTTTATAAAATAACCAAACTTCGATATTCACTTTGTGCCGCAACTTATGCCTTGCATTCAGATCATGAAAATATCGTTGAGATCTGATTACATCGTTAGGATCTGACGACAGTGTTAAGATAAGCATAGTTTTAAGCATCATTTCAACATGTTTCAGATCCGTGAATAACTTTTCAAACGTTATTATCTTCATTCACGTTACGCTTTAGATGTTTTTCATTCTTTTAATACCAGTTTTTATAGCATTTTATAATTAGCACAATCGACGTATTTCATTGTCGCTTCTTTTTCTAATTACCGTTTATACGCTTTAAAATCTTCGTGTAAAATGGTATTAGCATTTTAGTTGTAGAACAGTCGGTGTAAATGTGCCACCAGAAGAGATTCAGTTGTTAAATCGCTGACTAGTAAAAGATGACATTATTCTTCGATGATATTATACGAAATTACTCGAACATTATAACCTCGCATTTTTTAGGCCGTTAAAAAAGTCTTTTTTTGACGAGTATATGATTTAATTTTACCAGGTCACTTCTTAAATTTAATAATCTTTCATGGCGAAGGCAAGCAATTTCATTAGGAAATTTATTTTGTTGTCCAAACTTTATACAATATTTTAGAACCATCGCGTATAATAATTGTGGTAAACATGTACACCTTGATGCTACGTCTGCTGTATTTATTACTGCCAGTACATATTTTCAACTATCAATGTTAGAGCTTGTATCTGTATGACAGGGGTTCTAATATATTGGTAACTTGCTTTGTATTTATTGGATGCATTGAATACCACTCGTAATTTCGTTGCGCAAGATCCTTAAATACGCCATGATGTGGAATATAACAGATTGGCTGCGACTCTATATCTTTCAATATAGAATTCATATGACCTCTTCTCAAATATTCACTATTAAATTTTCACATAAATGATTTAAGTAGAGATTATTTAAGCCGCCGTTTTTAGTGTACGAAACACTATAAGGTGTATATTTTAGAGTTTGCGAGCGGGATTAAATTAAATCGTTTTTCGAATGAATAACATGCCTGATAGTGTCTAGAACTATTACGTTGAACGCAATATCTTTGGTTCTCAATATTATTGAATTTGTGTATCTGCTAAATCAAATCGTTAATTTGAACAGCTGGTGTTCCACAAAATTGCTGGGCAGCTGAAATTGAAAGAATTGCATATTGTTTCATCTTATTTGCATTTCTTGTACAATGGCTATGCTATTAGAATAGCATTTAATTTTTCCATTTAACAGAAAAACAAGAGGTCTGTACTTGTAATAATATCTGTTTGTTCTGGCTAATAAAAAATCGGATATACCACTGTTAGATTTAGGAAGTTGTCACACGATTCAAAGTCAAAGTCTAATCGAGGCATAGAATGTCCTAATCGTCTCAATTTTTTAGCTTTAGTGTGCATTGCTTAGGATGCGCGTGACAGCTCCCAAATTTTTTTGTCGAGTTCTAGAGAGAGCCGGGTAGTTACACAGCAGATGCTTCAGGGTATCCTTTGCATCGAGCTCGTTGCATTTCCTACAAGCATCGCTGTGAATTAGGTTTAGTTTGTGTGCATGTGATGCGACCAGACAGTGGCATGTCAATACACCAATTAATGTTCTATAGTTCCTTCGGCTAGACGAGGCAGACGAGGCTAAAGCTGCGGAATATTAAACAGTATGGAAGTGCATACGTACCGGCATATTGAATGTAATCTTACAGAAAACTCCTGCAATTTACATTTAATTGGCGTTGATTCTACTGAACTGCACTGTCTTGTTGTACACGATATAGAGTTATCGCCAATCGCATTATGTTTGTGTGTGAGCTGTGATATCGAATCATTGAGTTTCCCATTTTTTTTTCAGAACACTTGTTATTGTTTAATGCAACTGCTACCGTGGGATTAATTTCCTTTGTAGTTTTTGTTGCCACAATTTGATTGTGAATCAAATGTTCTAAGAATAGTTCGATAATAAAGTTTTGCTGACGTTACAATAACCTAATGTTTGATTAAACCACTTTTTTTGAGTTAGTTAAGAAATTTGTAATAAATTTTCCCAAATTCTCCAACTTGCCAATTGCCCGTTTGCTTGTTGACTATATTGATACGATTAAGATGATGCATGTCTAGTTGACGGTAAACATATTCTTTTTTAGGAAGAACTGATTTCTTATGCAAAAACAAACAGAAGAACAATTATTAGTAATTAACAACGGTAAGCTAATTTGTCACTTGGAACAAAAAAAATGTTTCCCACAAGGGACGCCACACTTTTGAAACTTTTTCGCTTAAATATACTAATATAACATTGTTACGTTTGAACTTCATTACGAGTAATATATTTTCCAAGAAACTAATTCTTAACGACGCTTAGAAATAATAAAATCAGTTGGGATGGGATAAAATATGAACGCTGGTTGCAGCTGAATTGGGACACTTTTATGCAGTACAGCTATGTATTACTCAAAGTTTCTATTCTTTACAACTTTTTTGTGATATAACAATACGCCTACATCTTAAGACATACTTAAACCACATCCCCTATGTGATAGGCTGTCATTTATATCTAAATATGGCGAGTGTTGCCTCACTTATTCAACAGTAGATGCTTTTCTATATAAAATAGATTAAAAACTGGTTTTATGTGAATATATTTTGCATTATCAGAATGATTTGTACTCGACTAACTTATATTGTAGCTCAAAATTTATGACCATTAAATAAATTTTTTTTTAATTTTATACTTAAAACTTTAAAAAAGACTTTGGCATCACATTTACCAAAGTCTTTCTTTTAATTTCTTAAATTAAAATTTTGATCTATGTTGCGCCTGACACACACACGGAAGTAATGCTCGTACAAAATGTATGAAACATATACTCTTTAAGAAGCCTTCAATAAACTTTCATTTATACATTTTTAATTAACTCCTAACAATACAAAAAGGCTATCTCCTTCT